CTCGTGAACCAACAGACCTCCTTAGTTTATGACTTTGTGAAACAATAAAAGTTTTAAATTGAACATCCAGGTCTGAGCCTGTGCTTAATTCAGTCCTTATATAATTTGGCACGAACTCACACAGCATGGTCTGGAGGGCAAGGGAAGCAGTGGTGCCTCGGGAACAAGAAGGTGGCAGGGCATGCAGGAGGGATGGAGGAAGGAAGAGGGGATGGGGAGGAGAAAGAAGGGGACTAGTACCCATAAAGAGGAAAGCAGCACTCATCATCTCATCATTAAGCAATTAGCTGGTCTTTCACAGGTGCTCCCTCCCAGTTGTAGTGGTCTGGGAAAGCCTCTTGCCTGCTACTGCCACCTGTGGCTTCGCTTCACATGGGTTGTGTTTCTTACTACCTCCTCCTCCTCCTCCCTCGCCCCTTTCCATCAAAAACCCTGGCAGTGGCTTCTAGCAGTAGCTGTGTCCGAGCTGCTGTATTATTATCAGTTAACTGTTTAACCAATATAATTAGAGGAGGTTAAACAGAAAATTTTTTTAACAGTATTTACATGCATATCTTGGATATATTCCCCTGAATGGATCCAGGGATTCATTTCCAGACATATTTCTTATAACTTATTATCATCACAACCTTTATTTCTTTTAAATCTCCAAATCCTTGTTTTTGGAGAGGTCATGCTATACAGGCATACCTTGTTTTATTGCGCTTTGCTTTATTGCGCTTCGCAGATACTGCGTTTTTTACAAATTGAAGGTGTGTGGCAACCCTGCGTCGAGCAAGTCTATCGGCGCCATTTTTCCAACAGCATTTGCTCACTTCGCATTTTTTAGCAATAAAGTATTTTTTAATTAAGGTATGTACATTGTTTTTTTAGACATAATGCTATTGCACACTTAATAGACTACAGTATAGTGTAAACATAACTTTTATATGCACTGGGAAACCAAAAAATTTGTGTGACTCGCTTTATTGCGATATTCGCTTTATCGTGGTGGTCTGGAACTGAACCCGCAATATCTCCGAGGTATGCCTGTATATACAAAACATATTTCTCTTGTCTTCATTCTTGTATCACATTTAACAGTTGAAGCAAGTTTTTTTCCACTTTCAGTCTTTTAAAGTCAGCCCAACTTCAGGGAAGCAAGCTGCTTACTAGTTGTAGGCACCACTAACAACCTGAGAACTAGAATACAGGTTTTGATCACGTAATGTTTTCTGTTCGTAAATGCAGTAATGCATGTCTAAAGCAGATACTGAGGATCTGATTTTTATAAGTGAATTCACTGTTGATTGAGATGAGAAAAGTCTAGTTTGGATTGAAAATGTAGGGAACAGAACCTAGCAATCAGGCCTCATGGACAGAGGTGATATCTTCTGTTAGACCAACAAAGATAAAAGACTTCACCTGACTATGAGCCCTGATTGCTTTTTCCTCTAAACCAATATGGCTACAACTTGGATACCAGGAACAGATCCTAACACTGAGATTCATTCTCCAGATTCTTTTTTTCCAACATGATTTTGTGAAGTCCTCAGTGGAATTTTGTAAATAATTGTCTTGTACTATTTACCATGTTTTTTACATTTTTGATGATGCTTTAGAGATACTTACGAAGCCTTGCAATTCACTAGTAAACTATCAACCAAGGTTGGTGGTATACCATTTTATAGATGGATGGCTCATTTCACCTTTTGTTTCGTGTAATCTGAAGTTGTGCAGCATAGCAGTCGCACAGCTAGGGATTCAGTCAGGATTCTCTTAGAACCATAAAAGTATGGGAAGAAGAGCTGAAAGGGACCTCCAGACATCTAGTTTAACCTCCTACCCAAAGCAGGATTATCCTTGGGTGAATGATTCCATACAAAATTTTGTCTAACCTGTACTTAAAAACTTCCAATGATGAAGACCACAGCTGTTTTAAGTAATCTATTCCAATGCTTAACTAAACTCATGGTTAGAAAGTTCTTTCTAGTATCTATATTTAAATTGTCTGACTTGGTACTTTGCTGTAAACAATAATCATTTTATTTCCATGGCTTTCATTTTCAAGGTTTGCTGGTATATTTTAGCTTACATTGGTACATAGTTAAATTTAATTACATACTCTCAATATTACTTTTTCCATGTTTAATGCCAGGGTAGGTAGGTCAATATAGCTGACTGATTGCTCATCACACAGTGCAAATTGGGAGTAAATCCACCATGTTAATAGAATGTAACACTGTCATTGGCATTAGTAGAAATATCTGAAATTTACCTTGGTCAGTGATTAGAACCAGATCCACTGTATTTCAGAAAACTGACTGATATGATGTTGCCAAGGCAAAATTCTTACTTTATATGGTGTTTTAGATTTTGTAGACAAATATCAAAATGACAATTTTCAGGCCTAAGCTTTTCAGTGGTATAGGAGAGAATATCTATGTAGGGTAATATAGTTTAAAAAAAATGATTGTTTATAGTTGACTTGTGAAATTCTTATCTCTGGGTAAATAGGACTGAGATTCCAGCAGAAAGTTCCCTTAACTGTGTTTGCTATAGACACCCTCCCCTGCTCTAAGAAAAAGCAATTTTAGTTTTGTTTTGTATTTACACTTGTATTTCTTGTGAGAGCATGTTTATCAGATTAATAATATTTTTACTCTGTTATCCACACACTGACTATCATACTCTTGCATCATAATGACCTGTATCTCCTGCTTGGATCTTAAATATTTTTCCTCAAAGGTGATTAACACTGGATATAATTTGTTTCACATTAGAAAAGTTCACATATGTAGCACATTATTAGAAGGGTATTTGTGTTCAGGTTCAGATCAGGCCACAACAATCATTGTAATTAGTGCTGCACAATCACATACAAGTTTTGATTAGTCCTTAAAAGGACTGTTAAAGAATTATGGTTACAGATGTGAAAAAATGGTGATAAAGCCACGGTTGTCCAGCTCTTACAGGTGTGCCTGTCTCATAAAAGAGTTTTCTTATTTTTCTTCTCTTTGAAGCTGTTGAAAATGGACATTCTGAGGCAGTAAAGCTGCTTCTCCGATATGGAGCAAATATTAATGGACCCCATTCATGGTCTGGGTGGAATTCTTTGCACCAAGCTTCTTTTCAGGTAACTTATTAATGTATTATTTCATTTCCATGTAAATAGTGTGTTTTACCTTTTAAAATTATAGTTTGTGCAGTTTTGTCATCTTCTCTAGTGATTTATGGTTGTTAGGCTTGGGCAGAAAAGGCATTCTAAATGCTAATGATCATTCTGAATATGCTAAAGTATGCTACATCAGCTACAGTGGGAGTTGGGCAGCAATGATTATTTAAATAATGATAAGTATTGCATGTAGGTAGGTGATCAGATGTAATATTTGGGAAGTAAATCTGTTGTAAGATGCATTCATTTTTTGGAAAAGACTCATTATATCACAGGTGAGACAGGCATGGCCTTTGTTTTTCTTTTTTAAATCAGTTTAACAACTTACAAGATTTATGGTTCTAACATGCTGTTTTAATTCTGAATGAATACAGAAAATGAATCTGTCTGATTCTTTTGTACAATTTTCAGTATCCCTTTAGAATAGCAGGTGGCAGACATTCTTGACTGTGGGCCAGAATGACCCAGGTTGAGTCAGAGGCAGTCAGATGGGTGCTAGGATCTGGCCCCCACAGCTGCTGCCACAGCACAGGGAACCTCCCTGCTGCTGTTGCTGCGCATCTCTGGTATGAGAGAATGCTGTCAAAGCCCCAGCTCTGTGGGCTAGATCCAGTGACTCTGCAGGCTGGATCTGGTCTATGAGCCATAGGTTGCCAACTCCTGCTAGGAAAGTGAATGTGTTGTATATTCCAGCTCACTATATAGAGTTACAATGGAAAATTATGGTTACTCAAATTCCACTCCATTTTTTTTTCTAACAGAACAAAATATTTATTTCAGGGATATACTGAAATAATCAAATTACTCCTTGAGAAAGGAGCAAACAAGGAATGTGAGGATGACTTTGGAATCACACCCTTGTTCATCGCGGCTCAGTATGGGAAGTTGGAGAGTTTAAGGATACTTATAACACATGGTAAAAATCATCTTTCATTTAGCATTACTGTTGTTAATCTTGACTCTATGTGCAAACTGAGAAAATTGATTTGAACTCTAGTTTTCCATTTTATGATGCTTAATACATTTTTTAAAATTTACTGCAAAGCCATTTGTGAACAAGTGTACGAAACTATCACTAAATGCTTCAGTCTCGTCAGGCTGGTACCTTTCCATGCTTTCCTTAGGTCAGAGTAAGAAACAGAAAAGAACAACTAGGGAAGGGCTAAGGGCCAGATTTGTATGATGCCCTTAATCACACTGAACAGTCCTGTACCACATAATTAGTTCACTGATGTCTATGACATTGCTCCTGGATAAGAGACTGCTAGCATGAGTAAGGGTTTTGCACTCCAACCCTGAAGTTACAAAAAGCTTCCTTTAGTATCTTTGAAACAACCGAGGTGTATGCCCTCCTATGTGGGTAAATGAAAATTAAATATCATGCCTGTTTAATTCATGTGTACTCTAAGCCTGGTTAAAACAGCACACATAGATTAACTGCTCTAGCATGTCAATACTTGTGGGGTAATATTTAGAGGAAGTAACTTCAAACAAAATGTCAATGAAGCCTTTGTCTTTCCTTCAGGTTAGCTGTCATTTATCTTACTATGACTCATTCTTCCACAGCGTGCAAGTGAGGGTTCCCAGTCTTATTCAAAAACTTTTCTTTCGTTTAACATTGGGAATGACAAAATCCAAATTTACATATCAACTCTATAACCAGTTTAAACGTGTGAATGAAAGAGATAGCTATGGTTTATAGTTCAGTTTATTGAATGTCTCTTATTATCAGAGGCTAAAACTCTACTAGCAGTTTACCCCAGGGTATTAGCTTAACAATCTGTAGTTACGGTAAGACTCTTGGGGAGGAGCTTTGGCAACACGTTTTTCTAAAAAGGAACATTCAAAATGATACTACACTTCAATTATCAAAGTAACACGGTAAAATATAGGCAATTTTAGAAGATACCCAGGAAATTGGTTTAAAAAAAAGTTTTTTAATAACATGGCAAAGCTGTTTAATCGTGGAAAAGCCAAGGTCCAATTGACAGTGTAATCTCTGCTGTACTCTTTTTGCATTTTATCTGCTATATTATGATTATGATCTCTCATATTAAGTGTGGTGTCTTGTGTCAGGTGCAAACGTCAATTGTCAAGCCAAGGACAAAGCCACTCCATTATTCATTGCTGCACAGGAAGGCCATACTGAGTGTGTGGAACTACTGTTATCAAAAGGGGCTGATCCAAATCTCTACTGCAATGAGGAGGAATGGCAATTACCTATTCATGCAGCAGCACAAATGGGCCATAGCAAGTAGGTGATATAAAAATTTGAAGTAAGATTCTGGTAATTAAGTGAGTTTTCCACAGTCAAGGAAGGTACAATACAGTAGTCCTACACAAATACTTCTCAGGGTTAGGTTCCTTACTACCCCCTGCAATGATGAAGGTTTGCTAAATAATTGGGGGCTTAGAGAACTTTAGCAAGCAGTTGTACAGGACTCCTGCTGTGCTTCAGCTGTTTGCTGTGGCTTTTATTTCAACGGGACGTGGTTCTCTCATCCCCTGCTCAGGACCACTTATGAACTTCAACTGAGAGTAGAAGCGGCACCCTTTGAAGAAGAAGACTCAACAAACAGCTGCACAGCTCAAGTTCAGTTTGCATCAGGTATCCAAATGAAGCAGGTTGCAAACTACCTGAATAAGGATGATGTAGTCTGTGTTTCAGTAAGCTGTGGATTCTGGTTTTCAGTTTAACATTTCTGATTCTGTTCATTTCATAGTTTAAGACATGTTTCCCTTGTGGAGTTCCCAGTGAAGTGAACACGTAAGGTCTGATCCAGGCCTGATCTAACTTCTGAGTCAGCAGGGTTTCTCAAAGAGAGGAGCTTCAGTGTCAGACTTCAACTTGTATCATAAGCATATCACTATATGAATGTTTTATTATTGCATCGAAAATAAAAAGCTGTAGTTGTACAGAAAGCTTTAGGAGACTCTCTAATTAGAATCACAGTCAGACTTGATGATTGGGAAGGAAAAGTGATCATACACAAACAGTGAACTAATTGAACCAGCCAGTAAATCAAAGCTATGCGAAGCTTCTTTGGAACAAAGTTGGGTAATGAGGGTGGGATGAGGCGGGTACCAGCCCCAGGTACTGATTTTGATGGGGCACCTGCAGCACTCCCCACTCTTCTTCAGCACCCTCCCTCCGCAGCTCTCTGATGTTCAACAACATCTCTATTGAGAGTGCTGAAATTGCTAGTTACACCTCTACAGGAATATGTACTCATTCCTCCCTGAAAGCCTTATCAAGTGAATGGCACCTGCAAGAGTCGAAGAATAAGAAGAAAATTTAGAGTCCATACAAAGATCCTTCTGCCTGTAGTCTCCATTCTTCTGGGCAGAAAACAGCCATTGAAGAGCTGTTCTTTCCTTTCCCACCAATGCAACCAGGCAAAACCAGTCTTTAAGATCAAGGGCAGCAGTAGCCAACCTGTGGCATGTGCGCCACAAGTGGCACAGATATCTGTTATGTGTGGCATACAGCAGTTCAGGGAGGGAATAGGCAGCACTAGCAGATTTGACAAGGAACAGAAATCTGATCAGGGCAGGAAGCACAAACCAGAGTAGCAGATCAGGTAGAGGGCACAGGATAAAGAGCAGAAAGCACAGCAGCAAATCAGGCAGAGAAAGAAGATCAGAGTGGCACTCAGGGAGGGTGTGGGACTCATTTGTGGCACCCCTTTCGAAGAGGTGGGCCCCTACTAATCAAGGGTATTAAAGATGGGCTGCAAATCTAATATTACCAATATGATCACTTAATCTTTGACCATTACTAGGAGGAGATTATTAGGCATGGCTACTAGTGAAGTTTTTGTGCCAAGTTCAGGTCTGTGCTCAAACTCAAAAGGTTTAAGGAAATTGAAAATAATGTGAGTTTTGTCTTAACACAGCCATCTCCACAGTCTTCCTAAAAACTGAAAGCCAGTTGGCAATGTTATCAGAATCAACAGATGACTATTAATGCTTTCCAAAACGGTAGGCTGCTTGTCTTTTCTAAGAGAGGTATTTAATAATCTGAGCTAGTAAAGGACTGGTTTTAGCTGGTCAAGAAGGACATGAGTTATAGGCACAGGTTGTAAAATGAAGTTCTCCCACCACTTCAGTATCTTAATGAGGAGCCAAGAGCAGAATTCTAACGAAGACATCTACTCTCAATCAAACTGTCATTTTGTCACTTGCCTTGTAAAAGGCTAAATCCAAACTTTCCAGCCTAGATAGCTGGTTGGCTAAAACTACCATATTTTCTTGCAAACAGCACACCCTTTTCTCAGATAGCTGCTGCAAATTGGGAGTGCATGTTATATGCAAGAAATAGGATAAGAACAGGTTTGATGCCTACTGGGTGAAACTAGAAGTAGAATCTGCATTTATTCACAAAGAGCAGAACAGTGAGCAGGCTGAGCTCTCTAGCACATCAGTTACAAGGAAAGATTTTTTTCTTTATTCTGCCTTTCAAAAACAAGGTGTGTGTTATATTCTAGGGTGTGTTAACTTCAAGAAAATATGGTAATTTAAACTGGAGGGATTATTTCAAATACAGATTTGAAGTGTATTTAGAACAACAAATCATAAGTCTGAAAATGTTTTCAGTTTAAATGAGACAGTCAACTAGTCTTGTACCAAACATGTTAACAATTCCAAAAGTTCAAAGTTCAATAGCTTTTCATAATCAGATTATCATTTTTAAATGCTATCCTTTTAAATAAAATATTGAAAAGGTGGTTTGTGATCATGTCACTTTTGACTTTGTTTTCATATCCATAGGAGAAATTATCAGCAAAAAAGAACATCTATTTTATCTATATGTATGAAAAAACTTCACACTAAAATATCATTTTAAATATTTTTAGCATATTGGGATTGCTGATACCAGTTACTGGTCGGATCTGTGACATGGGAGAAGACAAAGTGAGCCCTGTCTATTCAGCAGTTTATGGTGGTAATGACAAGTGCTTGGAAATGTTACTTAAAGAAGGCTACAGCCCAGATGCTCAGATGTGCTTGATCTTTGACTGCAGATCACCCATGTGTATGGTTTTCCAAAAGGAGTAGGTATACATCTTTTGCTTTTTAAATTTACCATAGGTTACTTCTCCTGGGATTTATGTCTGGCTAGCTTTCATTAATGATATATTCTACTGCCCTGCCCCCCCCCCCCCCCCCCCCCCC